CAATCCCAGCCTACACAAACGAATCCCACCTTTTCAATGATAACATCTGTGTTTGTACAAACGATTTCTGTGGTTTAAACAGCTGCGATTATCAACATTATAAGATCCCATTAGGAGATGGCGCTGAATGTAGTCATTAAATTAACCCCAATTTTTGTGNCGTCTTTTTGTAAATATATGTAAAACTACAGTACTGGTCGACTGTGATACAATAAAATATTTTCTTTATGATCAAAGGGAGGTTCATTATATTCATCGCCTGTATTAATGCTTTAGGAATGGACAATCATTGATATCTTGTCTACTTCGATCTACGTAGTTTCTAGTTTGCGTAAGTGTCAGTTAAACGTGCCTGACCTTGGCTGTCAAGATTAAATGATCTCAACATGCAAATCGCAAAATTTATTAAGTATGACAACGCATTATTTTCTAATAGGAATGACTCAAGAATTATCCCAAATTATTTCTGTAAACCCTTGCCATCTCGCTTATTTGTAATGAGGCATTATTTCATCTAATTAATAATCCAATATAGCAACTCTTTTGGATAACCAAATGAAATTGTTTCACAACCCAAAGAAATTGCATTAAATAAGGTTTCATAATAATAATCTGTTTGATGTCCAACTCACTAAATTAAAAAAATACCAGTTCAATCAAAGTCAACCTTGACATCAAGGTCACTTTTGTGCACAGCTTTGAATGTTCGTATTGTTATTACCATAATGAAGCAAGCAGCGCTTAAAACCAAAAGTTACCGTTATCTCAGTGAAGAGGACAGAAGCAGAATCACACGAGCACACAAACTGGGATTTTCGATATCAAATCTTGCCCAATGCTTTAACGGTTTTCAGGATAACGCTCCGTGTGATGTTTCACGAGAGGTTAGTAAATTTATTAATTTAAGCAGTCTGGTTCTCTTATTATTTGCTTTTAGACTTCAGGAACGATGCGTGACTCTAAGGTCCAGTTCATGCAACTTCCTCCTAATGGCCCAGATCTCAAAGTGATTAAAAACCTGTTTTCTGTTTTGAAGAGGCAAGTCAATGTGCTACCAGTACATTGGACATCGGAGGCAAAAGTGCGATACGTAATGGAGCATAAGATAGAAAATGACTTCATAACAAAGTTGTTGGATTCGATGCCGAAGAGGCTCTAAAAAGTCCCAAAGAACAAAGGTAGACTAATCGATATTTGTGTACACAAACTTAACATATTGTGTATCATCAATGTTAATTCGCTGTTATTAAAAACTGTTTCATTCGCTTTAGTTACCTTATAACTCATCATGGTCTAGGTCAACCACAACTGACGAAATGGGAGTATCCGCTACATTCTGAACCATTCCATCTACCGAGTACAAACGAATGATAAAATTAACGTCTATAAAGACTGACCAAGGCTTGTTTATTATTATTTGCAAAAAAAGTTTACTTCGATATAAATTCTGTTGCCTATAGGAACCGACAAGTGTTTCACAGGGACCCGTTGCTTCAGTTTCTATTAGACCTGTATGTGGTGTTCAAAGTTTTTTACAACTCAACTTTGTGGTTCAGCCAAACCATTCAGACTGCCTTTATGATGGAATCTTTAATGTCCAAAGCAGAAAAATCACAACTGTACCTTTTCGTGTGGAATGAGATATGAGAACTTCTAAACAGCGAAATATATTCCCCATGGGGACAATCTTTTCGTTGCTAAGTTCGATCGTGGTAACAAATTACACATTTGATGGTTAATCCCCTGTGCTTAAAAAGTGAGAAGAAACTCATTGAATTAAAATGCAGTAAAGTATGCTTTTATTATCTTTGTTAATGAAACAACTGTTGGTTGTTTTAACACCGTACGCGGTTGGGATTCCGCTGTGTTTGACTAAAAATAAACTAATTGCTAGATAAATGGCACAGTCTAGGAAATGCATCCTAAAATGGAGTCAGAACGATGGTAAAACCAAAATTTACCATGCATTCAAGTGATACTCTCGTAGCTAGATGCGCATGTATTATTTTCCCTATTGGTCGTTTATAAGTACATCTGTGCAAATTCAGTACTGTTTGCTCTCATTTGCCCACGCCCAAACTTTGCAGGACCCCATAAATGATCCATCACTGAAACCCATCCGGACTCCATCAGCTTTATGCCAACAGTCTAATAGGGAGTGGCCAGATCTGGTGATTGTCGTTCAGTCGTGTTTGGACTGCACAGCTACGCGACAGCATGCAAGAGACACATTCATGAAACCGTCCTTGTGGTCCGAGTTTGTCGTCAAGTTTGTATTTGTAATTGCAATTCCAAGTTCAAAACTGAAAGTAAACGATCCAAAAGAGTTCATGCGGTTGTTCCCCGAAGTTGCAGCTGAATCGGACAACAATAACGATCTACTGATCGGAGGTCCGTTTGAGGACACATTGGTTCAGACGTGGGCGCATATTTTGTCATTCCGGTGGCTATCGATTTTCTGTCAGGAACATGTGCCGGTGTACTTGTTTCTTAATCCGGAGTTTTCCGTCACTCCAAGTAATATGATTACGTTTCTCCGCGGTATCCCTCGCAATTTGCAATTGATTCTCAACGCTGGTTTGAGACCAAGCACCTTTCAAGTTCCACGTCATGGTGAAGGCAAAATAGATCCCGAAGAGATTCCCTGGAGCAGATATCCGGAACATTACGACGATTCAGCTTTCTTTGTGGGTGCCGAACTCCTGACGGAAGCTTCCATCACAATGGCATTCACGAAACCCCATCGCAATTCAGCTGCCTATTTGGGATTTATTTGGGCAAAACTTGACTATCCGTCATTGCACTTGCCGGAAGTGATTTGTAAGAGTGGGAATTGGAGTGATGTGTATGCTGCCTCCGTGTCGAGAACAGTTGATCTGGATCGATATATGGATTGGTCGAATGGATTTTTCTTCAATCCTTGAATATTTTTTGGTCACTATGTACCAGTGAACCTTGAAATGCTGTGATGTGACGTTTGAATATACTGTCCTCTTTACGCTGGTAAATTCAACTTGCGACTGAGCGCATTATAATCACTGTTAGAATAATAATCCCTTCCAAAAATTTAATGTGGGTCCTGAAAAGCATTCAGCTTCCCCAAACTGAGAAGTCTATTTTGTATGCATTTCTACTGTGAACTGATGGGTGCAATATGTGCATTTTACGCGTGGGTTTGTGGGATAACAAGGGCGATTCAAACGAGGGTTTTGCTTTTTTCTTGTCGAAGTGCTTTACAGTCTAATTTGACTGAACTTCTGGGGAAAAGCGTACATGCTTCCGTAGACCAACTTAGATTAGAGGAGAAACCTTGGATCATCTTAGATTCTTTCACCAGGCGTTGGTTTTCTTTCGCGTCTTGTAAAAATATGAAGGCGATAATCCGATTGATCACAGTAAAGAAGCTCCTTTACTGGGACAGTGTGTCATTTGATGTACCTGAGCTCTGATTCAATGCAAAGTTACTGTACTTTGTTGTATGATGAAACGCACAGAGACATTTTGCAGAAAATACCTCGTTTTGTAAAGTGCATTTCATATATGCATACAGGAGTCAATGGGACCACTCACCAAAGTGCTAAAAGGAGACACTTAAGGGAAGAAAGCAATCTACAAGTTGAGTCATTTTTTCCACGTAGACGAGGTAGCAGTGACTTGCAAGCGGTCACTGTCAAAAGCCAAATGTATACGCTTTAACTCGGAAATAATGTGGAATGATGGTAGCTCGGGATGCGAATGCTGGTGTTGGTGAGTTTTCCGAGCTGGAAGTGTAGTTCGCTACGTTTCATAGCCGAGCTAGGCAGCATCGTCAGTGCGACTTCGAGGAAGCTCCAATCCCCAGTGGAACAGGGTTCATATAATTCTGTTTGAGGGTTAGGATTGGTTGTTCGCGTCCCTTTAATCCTGTTAGGCAATAGCAACCGTTTGCTGTGATTTGATAGGCTGTTCCGTTGTCATGGTAACCATCGTTTTTCTCATTGGTCGACTGGCTTTACCAGAGCTACCGTGAACCGGTTCTAAATTGGTTAGAACTGGTTTTCGGCCCGTTCTAGTTAGGGCGACTTCGGGTTACCAGTGTTTCCTTACATATTAATAGTGATAGTATAAATAAGCACATAGAACTACAACCTATATATCAGTTTAGTAGTGCTCGACAATCTATGCTTACGTAGTCTGACCCAGGTTGGATAAAGTGAGCGAGTTAGTAACTCAGAAGTAAGTCGACGGGTATTTGGTAATACATTAAACAAGAACTCACTATCTCATCGAATCCAACTCAATAGGCCCCGTTGGTTAGGACACGTTTCGCGTATGTCCGACGGTCGCCTACCGCAGAGCGTCTTTTTTGCAGTGGCTGCTACAAGCTGAAGAAAGCCACGTGGAGGCCAGCAGATGACGTGGTGACGAGATAAACCAATGCACAGAGCCATTAGGTACAGTAGGTGTCTCCCGTTTTCCGGGTTGGAGTCCAAAAGACGCCAAAACCGTATGGTTAGAGACACTGAAGGTCATGGTTGCGAACCGACAGCAATGGCGATCCTGCTGTCACTTCTTATCAGCCCAGAATACTTGAAATAGTAAGCAAGCACAGTTGGGCTGTGCACCTTGTGTGTTGACCATAGAGGTTCGCCTTCTTTTCCCGTCCTTAAAAATAAGCCCAATCCCTGTCCTTCTTACACATTATCAGTTACCTTGTATGCTTTATGGGTTTGGCAGTAATCAGTGAAGTTCTCTTCACTGTATGACGCTGTACAATGATGATGATGATGAAAACGACAAGCAATTCGAACTTGAGATTTATCTTCTCAATAGTAATGAACGCTCTGTATTATGAAAAGACATCAGTATTGTAGTTTGCGCCTCCGAAATTCGGGTTACCAGTTCTAGCGGTGACTGCACATCAATGATATGAAGTTTAATTCAGAGCCATGTTGTTCAGGGTAACAATGTCATATTGATTTTTAACCTGCTCAATTGGTTCGATTTTGAGCTTGGTTTACCGCAACAGCAAATGTTGTTTTGAACGTTTATCATCGTAGAAACGTAGTTTAGTTCCAGAAACATCTCAACTCAATGTTTGCAATATTCACTCAAAGAGTTGGTTTGACGATGGGTCAAATGTACACCTGAAAACAACTCAGATTATAAGAAGGCAATCGTTTATTTCAATAATGTCTAAAAATTGTTCTATGGCATTGTCGAATCCCTCGATTCTGTACTTCACGTACCAAGTCAATTTCCTGGGATGGATCTCATTCAAATCATATGTGTGAATTCCGGCAACATCTATTTATATATTCAAATCTATTCACGAACTTGTAGAATAACATATACCTTGGATTCAATCATCAATATCGGTTGCAGAATTGTGTATTTACTGAAGATGAATCAATAAAACAAGAACAATGGCTTTGGATGAAATATATCGATGTACTGCTGAACCGGACTGTCGGCCAGTGGTTGAGTGACTCATAGATACGAATCCCAAGTCCGATTCCAGATAACAAGAAATCGGTAATCTACGTGTACAATAAGCAGACAAATATGTACAAAAACAAACACTATACCTCAAATTGTGGGCCAATCCGGTCTCCACGGTACAAGAACAATATATAAAGCGGGTCAAGGAGCAGAACAAAGCACCTGCGGAGCGGTCACCAAAAGGAATGCTAACTAGGCTTAGAAAAGGAACAATTTAAGGGAAAGAAACACCAATCGCAAGCGTTCGATAATGAAGCGCAGTCATTGGTCAGTGCAAGACAAACAAACGGTTCACGGTTAGGTCAGGTCAGGTTGCACAGGACGGAAAAGGCCTTCGCCAACCAAGTGTCCAGATTCTTGCTTCGGTAGGAAGGTTTCTTCTCCCAAAGCTTCAAACATCGTTTCAGCCGCTGTCTTGCAACTGTTCTGCGGCAGGAAACTGGTTCCAGTACCATATCTGTAAAGGAGATTAATTGGAAAACAAGTAGCATGTCAACCCTAAACAATCTCAGACCCTGCTTCTATACTACCTCTGGGTATATTTGGGTCCAAACCCTGTCTAACTGCCTCTGGAAATCGNTCCATCAGGTGAGGTGGTAGCTGATTCCATCTATCAATCACTCGGTTCGTGTAGAAGTTAAACAGCACACCGAGGCGAGCCCTTGGTTTTAAGAGCTTTAGACTGTGTCCCCTGTTGACCTCTACAGGCGTTCAAGAGAACAAACTTTCGGCGCTTACGGCAGTGAATCCTTTCATTATCTTAAACGTTTGTATGAGGTCACCCCTAAGTCGTCTTCTTTCCATAGAGAAGAGGTCTAACGCTTCAATCCTTTCTTCATATGGCTTGCCCCTCATACCCGAGACCGTTCGGGTGGCTAGCCTCTGAACCTTCTCGATGCACTGAATGTCTTTCTGAAGGTAGAGTGCCCTGGCCTGGTGGGGTCTCACCAGTGCCTTATACAGTGGGATAAAGACTTCTGCCTTTGGGTTGCTCAATGTATTTCTCAAATGGAATAGCTGACCTCTAGCTTTTTGCGCTGCAGCTTTGCATTGGTTGCCTGGCTTGTAATCCTATGAAACAAAGCAATCCGCTAAGCAAGTGAAGAGAATGATCAAACATGAAGGTCAACATAAAGAAGACGGGATGACAATGAACTAGAATCAAACGTGGGTGGGGGAACGGATCCAGGGTAGTTCGTATGTAATGACGCACGAAAACTATAAGCGTGGAACAGCGAGAGTTCAAAGGCGATAAGGGTAGATGACGCACAAATGAGTGGGACCAGGAACGCTTAGAGGCGGTATGAGAACAATAACGAGCACGTACAAAGTATGTCGTCGGGCCGAATCGGGGCATGATGATGAGCTAAAGTCAAAGGTCATCTGTGTAATGGGTCACATGGGTGCACAGTTAATCGAACCGAACTGGAGCAAAACATAAGGCGTGAATAATTTTTCCAATGAAGTCAATACAACTGCTGTTTATTCGGCAGTTAATTTGTGTCATGCCACGTTCTCAACAGTAGATCATTTTTCTAATTCATAAAGCATTAACCTTTCATTGACCATACTTCACAACGGTCATATGATCTGTGAGCATTTAGTCACGATTTCTGCTAACTTCGCAGAACGAAATGATTTATCTCCGTCATAGCAGCAGAATGTTGACTGGCAGATAGTTTGAGTAAAACCACGTCAGCCCTGTAAGTGAGCAGAAATTGCGGCGCATAAAACGAACAACAATTTATGCTATCCGGAATACAGTGTTTTACACTGATGAAACACCACTCTCGCAACCATTAAAACATGAAAGGTGGCTCAGTTGTAGGAACTCTGGGCAGCGCTTTACTGTGGTGATTCCTCATGAACTATCACCTCTTTTGTTTTATTGAACATGATATTCTTATAAATTCCTAATTTCCGCCTATCACAATTCCATGTGAGTAATGGAGGATTTGGTTAAATTTCAAATGGGAATTCGTCGTGTATAAAGCAAACGAAGCGTGAACTGAAAAGCTCGAAGCACCGGACAGCAGTTTCGACCTGGTTGGGTCACATCAGCAGTGCGAATCATCAGCAGTGCGAATCCATCGACCCGACTGGGGATCGAACCCGGGACTTCATGGGCAGAACGCAAGCGTGCTACCCACTACGCCACCGAGCAGCTGATCAGTTTATTCCTAACTTTTCAACCCAAGCTGCTTCATTGTTCAATTTATGGTCACAGCAAACATTTCGGTGGACTTCGGTCCACGAACGTGCCTTGAGGAATTTACTTTCCTTTTTATCTATCAGTGCTATTTTACGTCCTTTCTCCCCAAGATTACATTCTACCGTCATCATGGACGCATCGCCCGTTGGAATTGGAGCTGTGTTGGAGCAGAATCGTCATCCGGTGCTGTGCATCTCAAGCAGACTCACGGCTGCCGAACGTGGAGATTCCCAAACTCAACGAGAAGCTCTAGCTGTCTATTGGGCAGTCACGCGTATGCACAAGTATCTTTGTGGTACTCATTTCACTATTGCGAGTGATCATGAAGCCCTGCAGTTCATTTAAAACCCTCAACGTTCCCTGGCTAAGTCATCTGCAGCCATGGTACAACGATGGAGTATTGCGTTATCCGCCTATTCCTACGACATCCATCATTGCAGTGCGCAGTCCATTCCACATGCAGACCGTCTATCACGCTAAACCATTTCAGAGGAGACTTCTACGGGTGATTGTCTACTCACTCAACCGCTCCTGGTAAGCCGATCTGATCTAGTTCACGAGACCAGGAAATATTACCTCGCTATCATTTCCTGTGTCCGTCGAGGTTGGCGAGGTGATATCAAGCGTCGATTTCCGGATATAAACGTCGTGAAGAAATTTCTGTAATGTATGACGGTGTCTTGTGCTAAAATGATCGCATTATCGTACCTCCGACATTACGTACTACTGTTCTTAATGACTTACATTCCAGTCACCTTGGCATTGAAAAGATGAAATCTCTTGCTCGTCTCTCATACTGGTGTTGAATTAAATCATGATCTGAATCGTGTTGCAAAATCCTGTGCTGATTGTGTGCACAAAACTCACAGACAACCTTCGAAATAGACTCCGTGGCCAGTATCTTCCGAGTCATGGCAAAGAATACATGTGGATTACTGTGGTCCATTCTTCAACAAGAATTACGCATTGATGATTGTCTAATCGTATTCCCGTTGGTCGGAAGTGTACTTTAACACAACACCCAGTTCAGAATTTACTATCCGAGCACTCAGGAAAACGTTCAGTAGAGAAGGTGTCGAGCATGCTATCGTAACTGTTATTGGAAGTCATTTTACTGCCAATAAAGTTACCGATTGGTTGAACTCCGTGAATTGTCGGCATGTTCTCACTCTATCCCGACATCCTCAATCCAATGGCGCAGCCGAAAACTTTGTGCGCACGCTGAAGAGTACCATTGCTTCCTTGAATCGCAGTACATACGATGAACTGGGCAGAGGCGTTGATAACTTTCTGATGCAATACCGTAACGCAGTACATTGAACTACGGGACATAGTCCAGTAAAGCTGTTTAAAAGTCGAGTACTACGAACAAACCTTCTACACTTGGAGTCTGCGGAAGTCGTGTATCATCGTGGTAACGATTTACGCCCCTCCAGGAGCATTGTACTAGGCAATATGGGACGAAGAGTATGTCGCATATTGGATCTAGACGATGGCACTGTACATCGTAAATATGCAGACTAAGTAATTTGTAATTTGCCCAATCCTGATACTAGTGGTGAACTTAGTAATCCTTTTATTTCTGAGTCTTTTCCGGAGGAAATACATCCCAGTACAAATGTCGAAAACAGTACAGAAGAACCCAGAAGATCTGAACGATTACTCAACAAAGCCCACCGTGATTACAGAACACCGGAGATTCATTCAAGCTGCGGCGGATGTGGTGATTGCTCATGAACTATGAACTCTTTTGTTTTATTGAACACGATATTCTTATATATTCCTAATTTCCGCCTATTACAATTCCATTCCGCCTCTGAGTTCTGTCTTCTGATTTCGTTTCGAGTCCTAGTTCTGGGTCGGACTTAGTGCGCGGAATCCGATACGTATACGAAATACTAGTCCGAGTACGAACCACAACATTTACCCTTACGTCGATTCCCATTGCTCCAATAAGAATATAACATGGTCTGGCACTAAAAAGGCGTTAAAATGTTAATTGCAACCGAGAGAACAGTGACTCAAACTGAGGCATTCCTAAATGGCTATGAATTCAATAGGAGATGCGATGTGTTCACTGTGATTCAACCAACCGCAGAGGAGATAAATAGCATGAAGTAGGGCGCACTCTTCAGATGCTATGTGTCTCACAAGTGCGAAAAAGAATTAACTGAACCGCGTGTTGCAGAATATGGTTTATTTTTTCTATGATCGCACTTATTCCGTCATTCACTGGAGATTTCCTATTTTGGGTTTTGCACATTCATCGCACCATACATGCTTGCGAACAGCAAAGCCACCGTCTGTTGGATACATGAAAATCTTCGTGTATTACTATTGATAAAGCTGTCCTTTTCACATTCGAACAAGTGGACCTTACGAAAATACATCAAAACCTTTAGCATCAGCCGTAGGTTTTTCTCAGGTGACTGTTGTTGTTGTTGTAGTTGTTATTGTTTTCGCTTATTCGGGGTAACCCAGTGGTTGTTAACCAGTACATCATCCACCGATATCGCGATCTCGATTGGTCGTATTTGCTCTATCAGTGACTCTTTAGCCAATTCAATCTGCATATAAACCTTTTGGAATTAATTGAGGAATGATTTTGCTTTCCTTTGGTTTGACCACACTTGGTTCCATACTTTATTTATCATGGCCTATAATTCTTTTCGGGGGCACATTTAGACTGTATGTGTTTACACTCTTAAGTTTCGCTTCCATTTCCGCTTCGGTTTCCGTAATCGCTTTTGATGCAAGTGGCGTTACACCTTGCCATTTCATGTCTTATATGAGCCCAGCCTGGTAGACCTGTCGTCCTGCCTCACCTAAGTTCTGTGCAGCATTGTTTCTTTGATTGGCGCGTTTGATCAGGGTGGCTTACCCATCCGTCAAATTTTCCTATCATGCACCACTTGATCTGACAGCTCCAGTACGTCGCTGTGATGCAGTAATGTTTGACTGATGACCTTCCTGATGCTCTCATTAATGTTCAGTCCCTAATGAACACTATAAGCTCAATAATTGTGGTATCTTTCTTGCTCCATTGATCCTGGGATTTCCCAGAAGAGGGCAGTCGTTTAAGATTGCACCTCATCCTAAGAACGTTGGAGTTGCTTCTTTGAGCATCGGGTTCAGAGTGGAAATCATTTGACTGACCATCCGACTTCTTGGGCAACAATCTGACAAACGTTCTTCCTTGTATAACTCAATGGAGACTGTTCGTCTGTCAATAGATCTCTGGGCATTCACGTCCCCTAAAAAACACCCTGTGGTTTCACATTCAGCTTGTCTACCAACTCCAGTGTCAAGAGATTTACTCTGCTGTTTTTAATAGGCTTGTACATGCTCCCACTATCGATAATGAGTACTGAGTGTCTTACAACTACTGCTAATGCTCGTACTTTGTGATTGATCACACCGTACCCCAAAATTGGCGACGATGCAGAGCAACCACCTCCACAACCCGCATTCTGCCTATCCGTCCCGTCGAATCGCTCTGTAGGAAGAGATGTAGTATAAAATCTACTTAATACCCCGTCAGTACCAATCCCAACGATGTCGTGAGTACGTTTCTGTCCGTTTCAGCATATGCGTACCTTTGATTGGGGCCATTTTTTACCCAGGCTTGTGGCCTTTGTATACCACACTGTAAGTTCTGACCTCTATATTTTTGCATTTTTTCTGGTGGATGGGGGAAGTGGTCTTCAGCTGGGGTCTTAGGTTCGAACGCCTCATTCGTTTATGGCAGGTTGGAGTATAACCTCTCTACTCCTGCCCTGGATAAGGCAGTTTTTAGGGATATTTTCGGGGGTGGTTGAATTTCCTTGATTTGTAATGATTGAGCTAGGCCGAGGCTGTCAGAACTTTTCTTACATCTCTCTGTGCCTCGGCTTGGTGGGTTTTACATGATTGACCCTTACTCAGGGTTGTCTAAGCCGCACAGCGGTGCTTCCAGGTGAGCTTAGCTTGCTCTTGCAAATTGGGTTTCCTTCCTGCGCTGTTTTATTCTCTCTAACAGTCACCTGGTCACCGGTACTACTCTTGATTTTGTCAGTGCTAGCCAAGGTCCCGATATCTCTGGTTCGCAAACCCCAAATAAATGGGTCTCGGGGTTTCCCCTGGTCCTAATCCACCTCACGAGACAGAATCCTGGTAATGGCTTTGTATCCCGAGAGGTCTGCAGCTCTCAGTAGATGGAGTATTTGGTATCACATTTCTCTTTGTCTTCCGTCTCCAACTATTGAATTCGGTATAGCGTGGATTGTCACATTTCTCGTTCTACCGAGAGCTAGGCTGTATTATTACTGTTCCTCATCACCAGTGTGGTTATTTTACAGAGTAGATAACAGAGCGGCTTCTCTGTTTCATAACGGTGTTGTTAGTTTTCGTTCATCAACTTGGGATCAGCTGGATGTTGCTGGGTCGATATTATGTTAGTTTTAAGGTTTCGTACTCACCATGTGGTCTGTCCTTTCTGATCAATATTGAGAGTCGGTTTCGTTGGTATTGACCGTTTAATGCCAAATCACCTTGGTTCAACCCAACTCAATCAATCGCAGTTTGTTTTGGTTCCAATGCTCAATTTACCGTTTGTGATCCGTCGATTTGATAGCCAATCCCTTCTCTCATCTGCACACAGCAGCGCGGGATCACGGATCTTTTCCAGATAAGCCCCA